CAGCAGCAGCTGCTGCTACAATCGCTGCAGCAGCTGCTGCAGGCTTCTCGTTGTGCGGGTTTTGGGAGCAGGAAAATGCTTTTGCTGTTGAGCAGCAGCAAATTTGGGGGGCTCTTACTGTCTCTGTCGCGTTGTGTTGATGCTTGCTGCTGATGTCTTGCTGCTGCTGCTCTTGTTGCTGTTACTGGCACGGTTACTGCTGCTGCTGCTTGCAGATGGCGTCTCTGCCGGATTTGCAGTTGGAGCGGTTGCCTGAGGAGATGCCTCTGGTGGAGAAGGCGGCTCGGCTAACAGATGAAGCGTTGGATGCTGCGGCTGCTCTGCTGCAACGCGAGACGCAGTTCCTGCTGCAGCAGATTCAGCAGCAGGGGAGGCCCCAAGGGGGCCCGTGGGGGACTCAAGAACTGGAACGCCTGCGGCGCCTCCATGGGGAGACAGTGCTGGGGTTTGAACGGGTCCGGCAGCGATATGCAGCAAGCAAAGAGAAGGTGATGCAGCTTGCGCGTTTCTATGGTGAGGAGCCGCAGCGGCTGAGTGCTGCTGCTGCTGCTGCAGCAGCAGCAGCAGCAGGAGAGGGATGGGGTGGGCTCATGCATGCTTCTCCCTTCTCTACGCTTGCTGCAATTCTCCTGACGTTCAAACAAACACTCCGGGATATTCAGCAGCACCCCAAGCGATATGCAGTGCTGCTGGCCAACACCGGCAGCAGCAGCAACAGCAACAGCAAAAGCAGCAGCAGCGCAGGCAGCGGCAAGGACGGCAGCAGCAAGAATACACGATCAGATGCTGCGGCTGCCAGCGCTGCTGCAGCAAATGAGGAGGGCGAATCTGCTGCTACTGCAGACATGGCCGATGCAGCAAAGCGCACACCAGCAGCAGCAGCAGCAGGTGGTCGCGGGTTGCAAAGCCGATTGCTGCGCAAATGCAGCAGCCCAGATCCAATTCCTTTTACTGCTTCTGCTACTGCTGCTGCTGCTTCTGGGGCGTTGAAGGCTGAGAGGGGACAGCGTGTCTCCGGCCTGTCTCCTCCTCATCATCAAGAGAGGCTACAGCTGCGTGAGTTGCTGCATAGAATTAACCCAGGAACAAGAAGGGGGCACTTACACCGTATCCCCTTAACTGCTGCTGCTGTTGTTGCTGCTCTTGCTATTGTGTCGGTGTTGCTCTTGCTGCCTCTGCGCTGCTGCTGAGGCCGTCGATGCCCGGCTTCTCTTTAACACCTCTTTTCTGCTGCTTCTGCTGTTTCTGCTTCTGCTTCAGCAAGGCGCAGCTCGAGCTGCTTCGATCTGGATTCTTCTCTCCAACAACGGCCTATCCCACAGCAGCAGCAACATCAACAAGCGCAACCCGCAGTGGCTGCAGAGCAACAGGGGCAAAGTGGTGTTCAGCAACCCCACCAGCATGCAGCCGCTGTGGCGGTGCGGCTGCCTGCGGGTAGCCGGGTGCCTGGTGCTGGTGAGAAGGGCATCGAGTGCTTCCGCGGCCCCGCTGCTGCTGCTGCTGCTGCTACTGCTGCTACTGCTGCTGCTGGCAATCGGGCGACGCTGCACGCGCTCATCGACGAACCCTCGTTCCCGGCTTTGGATGTGGCGGCCTCCATCAATAGGGCGCTGTTTGTTCAGACAGAAACTCCCGCTACAGCAGCAGCAGCAGCAAGTAGACCGGAAGTCGCTGGGGGAGAGGCCCATCAGGAGAGGTCTGTCACAGAGGAGACGCCACCTTGTTCTGCTGCTGCTGCTTCAGAGCAGCAAGGTAAGCACTCGCAGCAGCAACGGCAGCAGCAGCTCCTGCTGCAGCAGCAGGCACCTTCTTCGGTGAGAGAGCCGTTTTTTCCTCCTCGCGTGGTGCCAAGGCGCTGGAAGCAGCAGCAGCAGCAGGAGGGAGCCATTCCGCGCATGAAGGTGCCGCTGCTGCTGAGGCCGCGGCTGCCGCCCCCTGCGTTTGTGCGGGGCGAACATCGTAGGGTCCCGCGGATCGAAGGGAAATTTGGGCAGCAGCAGCGACAGCAACAGCAGCCTCAGGCAGAGCAGCAGCAGCAGCAGGAGGCAGAGCAGCAGCAACAGCAGCAACAGCAACCTCCTGGGGTTTGAAAGTAGCCCCCAAGGGATATCAGGTTGTAACGAATTGCCTCGTTGTGAGGCAGCACAAACTCACCAGCTTTTGTCTCAATGAAACAGTGTACAGAGCGCTAAACCCTAAACTCTTAACGGTTGGCAGCAGAAGCCGACTAGCAGCATAGAGCAGCATATGGTGGCACTGCCTGCAGAAGCTGACTTCCTTGTTTTTGTTTGATTTAGTGGAGAAATAGAACGAATTAGGTTTCATATTTACCAGCAGCTAAAAGGGAGGTGCAGCAGCAGCAGGCTTTGTCTTTGTCGTTTTTGTTGTCTTTTTTGTTGAGTTTAGCTGCTGCAGCAAGTGCAGCCATGTGAAGCACTTGATGCTGTTGCGAACTGAACACCTTCACATACAGCAGCTGCTGCAG